CTGATCTCCGATGCTTCTTGAAGTCCAAGTCGAAAATCTCCAACCCTTTTCTATGTAGTCATCCATGGCTATTTATAGGGTTTAAGCATGTAACCGACGTGCTAAGATCACGGGTAGAGGGGCGTAACTACCTCCTCTAATTCTGCGCACGCCATAACGTGTTCCTGAAGATTAGCTCATGTGGCTGACTAAGTCTTCGTAGCCATTACAGCTAAATCTCACATGGACGACGAACCTCATCTTTAATTAAAATGGGGTTTGTTATGTAAGACGAGACTCGAAACTCAGCGAGGTTCGTCTTACAAAGTATACTTTGTAGTAAATAGACTTCTTCTGATGAACTTTATCTTCACTGACTTTGTCTGATGAATTTCATCTTCACCAACGAACTTCGTCTTTGATAGATGGGTCCAACTGCGTAGTAAACCTGGTAACTTTCCCTTAAACGAACCTCGTCTTTACTAACGAGCTTCAAGTCCGACGATGAGCTTTATCTTCACTGACGAACCTCATCTTTTGAAGATGAATGTCGAACCTCGTTTCCAATGACGAGCTTCACTGTTTGTTGTTGAGTTTTACTGCTCGACGACCTGCGTTCTCAAGGTTGATCTTCACTAAACGATGAGCCTCGTCTCTGATTGAGACGAGGTTTGTTTTCCTGGCCATCCTTCTCATATTTTAAATTTTGGCATTTTTGAATGCCTACAAGTGTGGTAATGTAGCCTTCTTATCCCAAATAGAACCTAAAAAGATTAATGATGCTTTAAAAGATAAGTTTTGGATTTTAGCAATGCATGATGAACTAAACAACTTTCAAAGAAATAATATTTGGAAATTAGTTCCTAGACCTAATAATGTTCATGTTATTGGAACTAAATGGGTTTTTAGAAACAAGCTTGATGAACATAGTATAGTGACTAGAAATAAAGCTCGTTTAGTTGCCCAAAGATACAATCAAGAGGAGGACATAGACTATGATGAAACTTTTGCACCGGTTGTAAGATTGGAATCTATTAGGATATTTTTAGCCTTTGTTAGTTTTAAAGATTTCAAACTATTTCAAATGGATGTCAAAAGTGCTTTTTTAAATGGTTTTATAGAGGAGGAAGTATATGTTGAGCAAACCCTCGGTTTTATGGATTATTCTTTTCCTAATCATGTTTACCGGGTTCAAAAAGCTTTATATGAGTTAAAACAAGCTCCTAGAGCTTGGTATACTCACCTCTCTAGTTTTCTTCTTAAAAATGGTTTCTCTAAAGGAAAAATTGATAATACTCTTTTTGTTAGAAAACAGAAAAATAATTTTCTTTTAGTTTAAATTTATGTTGATGATATTATTTTTGGTACCACTAATGAATCATGTTTAGTGTTTATGCAAGTGCACATTTTCAAGCTTCTCCTAAAAAGTCTTATTTGATTGCGGTTAAAAGAATTATCAAATATGTTAATGGCATAATAAATCTTGGTTTATTTTATCCAAAAAACACTTCTTTTGATCTTTATGGTTTTTGTGATGCTGACTTTGTCGGTTGTAAGGTAGATCGCAAGAGTACGAGTAGTACATGTTAATTTTTGGGTAACTCTCTTATCTCTTAGGAATCCAAGAAACAAAATTGTATTGTATTGTCTACTATGGAAGCGGAATACATTGCCGTTGGCTTGTGTTATGCATAACTTTTATGGATGAAACAAAATTTGGTTGATTATGATTTGTATTTTCAAGATACAAATTTTCTTTATGATAATACTAGTGCTATCAATATTTTAAAAAATTCTGTTTTTCATTCTAGAACCAAACATATTGATGTACGTCATCATTTCTTACGTGACCATGTAGAGCGAAAAGATGTATCTCTTATCTATATTTATACTAAATCTTAATTAGCGGACATCTTTACCAAGCCTATTTGTGAAGAAGATTTTTGTCGCATAAGAAATGGTTTGGACATGTGCATTCTTTGAGTTTGTTTGTTTGTTTGTTTGTTCGGATTATTATTTTCATGTTCTACTATTTTTTACGCACTCATTGTCATAACATGTCTAAACACACGAATTGCCAAGAGGAGTGGTTGGGAGAGATCGGGGTCAATTTCAAGAGGAGTGAGTTGGTGGTAATGCCTAGGGAGAGGTCGTAAATTCAAAACACTTGAGGAATGTGACACGAGTAGGCCACCACTTGAGGTGTATTTTGTGGGTTTTTGCATGTATTTTATTTTGTGTACCCCATTTTTGATGGTGACAAAGGGAGAGAGAAATCTCCTTATTTGTGCACACAGTTAGGGGGAGAGAGCCTTATAGATAGAGGGAGCAACTATCTATAAGCTATATATATTCAATTTTATTTTGCTCTTGAATAATGGTTGGTTGTCATCATCAAAAAGGGGGAGATTGTTAGCCTTTATATTTTAATGATGATTTACAACCACCATTATTAGTACTAATTACTTGTTGAGTGATATTATAGATTATAAGAATATCAAGCTTATTAGTACATTTATTGGAGGATTGGATGGATTATCAAGCTACAACGATGAAATTAAGGAGGTGGAGACATATTGGTGAAGAAAAGCTATCAAGAGCACAATATCATATTAGAAACTTCATCAAGAATCACGCAAATATCAAGACTCAAGCTATGTTATATGTGAGGGATATTTGTATTTTTATTTCTCTCTAGTGCTTAATGTAGGCAAGTAGTTTGTTAGAAAGCATTTGAAGCTATTGGGATAACACACACACACACACTTTCAAAACTCATATTTTGTTAATTTTACAAAACAATGAGTTTTCACAAGTATAAGGATCTTTTTGCAAAATCCTTTGTCAAACAAGTTTGTTTTCTTGTTTAAAAACATTTTCTAGAGTTTTACAAATTTTGAAAGTTGTTTGATAAGTTTTACAATTTCCCAAAGTCAAAAACCTGTTTAAAAACTATGTGCATGTTCTGTGTCAGTTCGCGATCGACCAGACTTCGTTCTGTGGTCGACCGTGAAAAGTCCAGAGAGTTTGGGAAGCCTGGCAGCCGCTCGTGGTCGACCAGACTTGGTTCTGCGGTCGACCGTAAAAAATCCAGAGAGTCTTTGTTGTAACGGCTAGTTCCACGGTCGACCGGACTTGGTTCTGCGGTCGACCGCAAGTACTGTAACGGCTAGTTTCAGCCAGCTTCCAGATTTTCAGGATTTGGTCTTTTTTGTCTTTTTCTGGGGTTTTTGGCTTCTTCCAAGGATTGCCTATATATACCCAACTACCCCATTTAATTCTAAACTAACTTTGCAAGAGAAAATTAATTGAGCTTGTGTTCTTGAGCTTAAAAGAGCTTCAATTTTTAAATTTCCAAAATCTGTTTTCACACTTGCAAATCCCACATCCCAAGCTTCAATTGGAATCTCTTCTCCTTGCCATAGGGCTGCTGTAAGAGAGGTTCTTTTAGTTCTTTGTAACGTGTGGAGAGCAAGATCTTGTGGAGATCTACTATGTGGTTATGAGATCTCAAGAGGAGATCGTTGTGTAGAAGTTTCGGCTTTCAAACCGGGTTATGATAGTGAAATTCTCATTGAAAGTGGGGAGCGGAGACGTAGGTCGGAGGACCGAACCTCGTGAACATATCCCGTGTCACAATTGGCTAACTATTTCCTAACTCATCTCTCTTATTTTGTTTTCGTATTTTTATTCTATGGTGAATTGCATTGTCCTTTTTTCATTGCATATTTATTGCCTCATAACCCTATTCAACCCTTCTAGGGCCTTTTAAAATTTACTTGGTGGTTGTATATTTAAATATGTAAATATTAAATATAAGAGAATAATTTGTCAAACATTCAATATAAATATAAAACTATTTAATATTTAATATTTGATACTTTATTATTTAATATATGAAATGGTTACATTTAATGCTATGCATTTACAATATTTCTTATCTAATATTTAAATAAAAAAATAAATATATAAATATAAAGTATAGCTAAAATAAATATTAAATATAATTGAAATATATATTAGATATAATTAAAATAAATATTAAATATATATCTAATAAATTATTTATATATTTAATAGTTAAATAACATATTTAATATTAAATATATTAGACTGTTAAATGTATAAAATAAATAGAGATACAAATGGTTAAATAATAAAAAATATTAAATAGCATAAAATGCTAAAGAATATTTCATTTTAAATGTATTAAATATAGTTAAAGAATCTAATTAAAAAGTTTTAAATTAAATATATTAAATAACTTGAATGACTATTTAAATCATTTAATATTTTATTAGAAAATTTTAAATATTAATTAAATTTTCATATTCACTAATTTTTTTTAATATCTAAATAAACATTTTATATTGATTATTAATATGAAATATTTAAATAGTTTAATAAATTTAAGATATGTTAAAGAATGAATATACTGAATATTAAAATAAATAAATTATATTAAATATTTAAATGATTAAATAATATTAAATATAAAGATTATCAAATAATAGTTATATTAAAATATATTTTAATATTTAAATTAAAAATATTTAAAATTGAATAATGTTTGATATTTATTAAACAACTATATAATATTTTAATATTAACCGGAAGTGTTTGATAAATATCAATTAATAGTGTTTTTAATTACATAGGGGGCTCATTACGAGAGAAAACCGAAGAAGAGAGATAACAATCCTCCAATTTTAGCATAAAACTTTTTCTGAGAACTTTTCCGCTAGATGGTATAGATAATAGATTATGATTCGGGTTTGGAATTTGAAATCCTAATTCTAATTATAATCCTAGACACCCAAAAGTTAAAGATCCAGATTCTAATTCTGAAAACAATAACACCATAAAGATAAATCAAAATTCCATTCTAAAGCCAAATAACACAAGTTAGATTTTACAAAAAGTCATAGTCCTAATTAACAATCACCCCCCCCCCCCCCCCCCCCCCCCGCCCCGGCCAGCCCCCTATTAGTGTGACGTGGCAAAATCCGAAACAATCCATTCAAGATAACACCGGTGCTGGAAACGTGGTTTCTAAACTCCCGCGTATTCAGCTAGTCTCTGGCGTCGCCGCGGTGGCGGAGATGGGGACAGCGACGGCGACGGATTGACGACGGCGTCGTCTGTCGAGTGCCACTTCCCTCCAAAATTGGGGGAAAACGAGTCATTCCTCAATTCATCTCATCGTCGATGGGTTGCCCTGATACCAAAAAAGCAACTATTCTCGTAAGCATCTCTTCGGAAATATTCCCATTAGCTTGTAAAATCTATGGATTTTTTTTTTTAAACTGGGATGTTTCAAATATCATGATTGGTTAGTTGCTAATATTTATACCTTTTAATTCATTTTTGCTATCATATTTAATTACTCAGGTTGTTGAGATTTTTTAACTCTGATTCATCTGCAGCCTAAAAATCATGAGTGGGGGGAGATCACTCCGCTTAGGCGTAGTACTCGCGCAACATGATTATAATTAGGAACAAATTTTCAAAACAGTCCCAAAAAGATTTTTATTTTTCAAAATTGACCCGGTTTTTTTTATTTACCAAAATCGACCCGGTTTTTGCCACGTGGGCTTAACGACGTTCCTAAACAGTCGGGGTTGCCAACCCCGACTGTTTAGGAACGTCGTTAAGCCCACATGGCAAAAACCGGGTCGATTTTGGTAAATAAAAAAAAATGGGTCGATTTTGAAAAATAAAAAAATTTTTGGGGCTGTTTTGAAAATTTGTTCTTATAATTAGCATTGTTTCATGTGCATTTGCTCCAAAGTTTGAGAAGGATTCTTTTTTTTTTTTTTTCATTTGTATTATAATTGCTTAATACTAACCTACAGGACAAAATCACAAACATGTCACATATGTCGACCAGACAATGAGGGCAGATACTAAATATTTCCGATAGGAAACCGGGACGACCTCACTGCAACATTATGGATAAAGTTCCCCGTGGGTTTCATGATACACAAGTCATCAGTGTTGGAGCTGTGGCAAATGAACTCGAATTGTTGTAGGGCACACAATCATCCACTTATTCGTATCTTTCGAGTTAGGGAACAAACTGACTTGAAAATCACCATTCAACCTCACTCTTTGCTGTGGCTTGAATTTGACTCGTCAAAACAAACCAAGATTTTTGATAAATGTCTAGGATAAGAGATGAGTGCAATCATAGGATGGTAGAGCAACTTTTATTGAGGATAAAATGAAAGAGAACCAATTTAGATGGTTTGGTCACGTACGACGGATATTACTAAATGAACAAGTTAGGATAAGTGATAGGATTATTGTTAATGCGGGCAAGGAGTACTAGAGGTAGGCCCAAGAGAATTTGGTTGGAAGCAACTAAGCAGGATTCATATAGCCCTTAAGAGAACCGAGTGCAAAATAAGATTCGTATAGCCAAACCTAAATATTTAGGATAATGGCTTTTCTGCTGTGTTATCAAGAAAAACACAAAGTATAACACAAAGCTCGTGCACAGAAAACAAGGTTTTAAGTATCAGATATTGTGGATATATCAAACTGTCAAAATTCATATCGAATTGCGGATATTAGGAACATATCGGGGCTATGTAGTAAATATCGAAATGCTATATCGAATGATGTGCATATATAATACAATGCCCTGTAATATAATCTAAACATACTTAATGAAATCAAAGAGTACAAAAATATAAATATCATATGTTTAGGATCTCTAACCAATTTAGAAACTTACTTAAGGAAAAAAGCAACCAGGAACTTGCTACAAAACTTCATCTGGCTGGAATTTTTTGCTAAGAAAACATTAAAGAAATTGTATGGAACTCTATCTTTGGCAGTTAGCTATATAAAAGAACATATTTGTTTGGGATCGTCGTCGCTTGTTTGGCTCAGAAACCTGCCAAAATCAGTCATGTTCTTCATTCACAGTGCACCACCAAGAACTCAAAGGGGAGAGCTCACTGATCTCCTCGACCCGTCACTCACAAAGAGGATCGCAGAAAGGGGGTGAGAGCACAAAGCTCATAGAAGCACAAAACTCATAGGAGCACAAAACTCACAGAAGGAGGGAGATCGCACACAGTAGAGGAGAGCTCAAGCTCAGTTTTCTCCTCACTATCTCTTCTTCCTCTTTCTCCTCTACCGAGCTACTACCAACCCATTACCCTTATATAGGGAAGGGGGCAGCCGACACGGGAGAGAGGCTAGGGGAGAAAACAAAGGAGGGAGCCGACCTAGGGATGGAAGATGGGACTCACAGCGGCGGCCATCAGATCACAGAGATCGGAGGGGATTTAGAGCTATCGGGTAGGAGAAGAAAATAGAGGGGCTAGGGCACAAATAGTGGGGAGCTGGGCCTTTAGAGTAACGAGCCAACTTATTGGGCCAACAAAAAACAACAATCTCCACATTTGGCCCAAGGTAGTGCACAGAAGGAAAAACACGGAACTGCAGGACTCATCATCGCCAAATTATTACCTGTATAATCACAAAGAAGATACAAGCAATGGAAGAGAATACGCTAAGTAAACTCAGATCACAAAGATCGGGGTTAAATTTACCAAGCATACCAAGTCCACAAAGGACCGAACTCTACCAAACGGTCATCGAGTTCAAAGGGGAAAAAAACACAAAGTTACTAACAAGCACAAAGCAAGTTAATAGGCCACAAAGGCAACACACAAAGCAAAGGAAAATTACCCAAAATCAAAATTCAAGATTCTTTGACACGAGATAAATTTTTCAGCAGGCAAACACTTAGTACCCATGTCAGCAGGATTAAATTCTGAGGGAATTTTTTCTAACTTGACAATACTCTTTTCAACTATATCCCGAATGTAATAAAACCTAACATCAATATATTTAGTTCTATCATGAAAAACAGGATTTTTGCAAAGTTGAATAGCAGATTGACTATCAGAAAATACAACCATATTTTTATCAAGAAAACTAATTTCAGATATGAGGCCCCTAAGCCAGATAGCTTCTTTAAAAGCTTCAGTGACAGCAACATACTCAGATTCAGTAGTAGATAAGGCAACAATGGATTGTAATTGAGATTTTCAACTTATGCAAGAGCCACACAAAGCAAACACATAGGAAGTGGTAGATTTTCTATTATCCCTATCATTTGCATAATTAGAATCTACATAGCCAGCAAGTTTGACACCTTCAGAACACTTAGAAAAGGTTAATCCTACATCTACGAAGGATTTCAAATATCTTAAAAGCCACTTCAAGGTATTCCAATGAGGCATACCAGGGTTTGACATATATCTACTCAAGCAACTAACCGCATATGCAATGTCAGGCCTAGTACTAACCATGAGATACATGACCGATCCTATAACATTCGAATATGACACCTTCTTCATATCATTTATTTCAGTTTCAATATTGGGAGATTGATCCTTACTTAACACAAAATGGGAAGCAAGAGGCACATTCACAGATTTGGCATTAGACATAGCAAATTTACTCAGAATTTTTTCAACATATGAACTTTGGTTTAAAACTAGAGTAGATTTGTTTTTGTCCCTAATAATATTCATGCCTAGGATTCTTTTAGCATCACCCAAGTCTTTCATGTCAAAATTTTCACAAAGACATTTTTGAACATGCTCAATAGACTTCAAACAAGGACTAACAATCAACATGTCATCCACATAAATTATAAGAAATACAGGCACAGAGTCTATATTCTTATAATACAGGCAATGATCAGCAGAACTCCTTTTAAACTTTAAAGATTGTATGCATTTATCAAATCTAATATTTCATTGCCTAGGTGATTGTTTTAAACCATACAAAGCTTTTTTTAACAAACACACATGATCAGGCAATTTAGGGTCCACAAAGCCCTCAGGTTGGTGCATATAAATATTTTTATCAAGATCACCATACAAGAAAGCAGTAGTTACATCCATTTGTTTTAATTCCCAATTAAAATGAGCAACTAAAGCAAGCATAATTCTAACAGTAGTGAATTTGACAACAGGAGCAAAAATTTCAGCATAATCAATTCCCTCCTTTTGAGTAAATCCCTTAGCTACTAACCTAGCCTTAAACCTAACACTTTCAGATTCTTGTTTCACCTTAACCAACCACTTACAGTCCACTACAGAACAACTAGCAGGTTTAGGAACAAATTTCCATGTTTGGTTAATTTTTAGGGATTCCATCTCACTCTTCATAGCACTAATCCATTCTTCAGAATATTTTGACCTTAATGCTTCTTTATAAGTCTTAGGTTCATTGCACTCAAGGGATTCAAACACATTAAAGGCAAACTCAGACATATTACAATTAATCAAATTGAAATCTCTATATCTTTCAGGTTTCCTAATGGTTCGTTTATTTCTATCCCTAGTGAGTTGATAATCATTCAAATCATGCATGTTATCTATTTTCTGCATATCATGCTCCACCTCATTAGGAATAATCTCATCTTGATTTTCAATAATTGTATCATTCAATTTTTCTTCAGAAAGTGATTTGGGTTGATTAATAATATGCATTTGCTCCACCTCATTTTGAGTATTATTTTTAGGAATAGGAACATGTAAAGGTAAACAAGGAAATTTATTTTCATTAAAAACAATATCTCTGCTTATCACTACCTTAAACCCTGGTTCACTCTTATTCCAAAGCCTATAACATTTTACCCCTGCAGGGTATCCTAAGAAAACATATTTTTTAGATCTAGGTTCTAACTTATCAATCTTTTGATGCACATAGCCAGCACTCCCGAAAATTCTCAAATTATTTAAATCAAGAGGTTTGTCCGTGAACACAAATTCAGGGTATTTCCCTCCCAAGGGAACAGAAGGAGACCTATTAATCAAATAAGTCGTAGTATAAATAGCTTCTCCCCAGAACTTCTTGGAGAGCCCAGATGTGACCAACATAGCCCTCACCCTCTCTAAGAGAGTTCTATTCATCCTTTCAGCAATCCCATTCTGCTGGGGTGTGTAGGGAACAGATTTATGCCGTTTAATACCCCAAGTAATACACAAATCATTCAATTGTTTGTTACAAAACTCAAGACCATTGTCTGTCCTAAGAGTTTTAATTTTCTTTCCCGTTTGGTTTTCAATCATAATTTTCCAGTTTTTAAATTTATCAAAAACTTTAGATTTTTGTTTCATGAGTAAAACCCAAACTTTCCTAGAATAATCATCAATTATGGAAACTTTCCATGCGTAGGCACACTAGAGGGACCCCACACATCAGCATGCAAATATTCAAGAACACTAGTGCACTTAGACTGATTAGGAAAAGAAGAAGTAGGAAAAGTAACCCTATGTTGTTTTCCTAGCACACAAGATTCATAGAAAGGGATGGGGGATATTTTATCACTACCAAAGTGACCTCCTTTATGCAAAATTTCTAATCCTTTATTACTCATGTGACCTAATCTATTATGCCATAAAACAGATTTATCACCTATCACAGAGTTAACAGAATCAAGCACAGATTTAGCATGACAAACATACAAATTATTTTGTTTTTCAGCAGTAAAAACAACAAGAGACCCTTTCAAAATTTTCATAACCTCTTTACCCCATTTTTCCTCCAAACCATCATTTTCTAGAGATGCACAAGAAATCAAGTTATAACGTAAATCAGGAACATGCCTAACATCCTTCAAAGTAAGTACAGAACCAGAGGAAAACCTTAGGCATACATCACCAGTTCCTAAAACATTGCATTTTTTTTCATTTGCCATTGACACAAAGCCATTCTCTATTTTCTTGTAGTTTAAAAACAAGTTTTTATAAGGAGTCATATGAAAAGTACAACCAGAGTCTACTAACCAATCTGATTTACACAAATGATCAGATAACACAGAGTTCAAATATGCATAATCACACAGATTATTAATCATGAAAATTTTACCCATTTTGCCCTCACAGACAGTCATATTAGCATGTTCATTTTGCTGATTTTTCTTAGGCTTAGGACAATCTTTAATAAAGTGACCAGTTTCATGACAATTATAGTATTTTTTAGCTTTAAACCTAGACTTAGATCTACCCCTTCCATTTTCAAATTTTTTCTTACTTGATTTCCCATTACTAGCATTCTTTTGGTAATTAGATCTATTATGAGGCCTACCCCTCACATGCATAACCTCACCAGAATTTTTATTTCCCCCAGAATGTTTTAAATCTAATTCCTTACTCTTAAGACCATTAACCACAATGTCAAGGGTAATATCATCTCTATTAATAGCAGATTTCACATCACTATATGAGTCAGGAATAGCATTTAGAAGGGCAATAGGAGTATAATCATCTATATGTTTATCACCAGTTAACTTAATATCTGAAATAAGTTTTGTGAAAACATCTAGGTTCTCCTTAATGTCCTTAGACATATCCAATCTAAATTTGAAAATTTTTTCAAGCAAAAATATTTTACTGGGCAAAGAGGTTTCAGTATAGAGTTCTTCAAGTTTATCCCAAAGGGTTTTAGCAGATTTTATAATTCCAACTTTTCTAAGCACAGAGTCAGATAAATTCAAATAAATTGTGGAACAAGCATTTTTGTTCATTTCAGCTCTTTTTTCTTCAGTGTCAGAAGTTAAATAAGTCTGACCTACAGCCCTAAATGATTTCTGTTGAATTAAAATACATTTTATTTTTTGTTTCCAAATGCTAAAATCAGATTTTTCGTTGAACGGAGCCATACCATATTGATTAGCAGCAGACATTTTTCACACAGAAAAAATCAGATAATGGTATCACAGCAACTAGCACGAGCAAGGGAAAAACAAGAGAAACAACAAATAAATTTTCCAGCAACTAGCACGAGCAGAAACACAAACAGGAAAAAATTTTCCAGCAACTAGATAGCTGTTGAGTTGGGTTTTCAGCCAAAATACCTGAGCGAAACCCTAGGAGAGGGTTTCGACCTTACCCACGCCCACGCGACGGTGCTCTTACAGCGGTCCGGCGAGGTCCTGCGGCGGTCAGGCGAGGTCAGGCGGTGCCCTGTGGCGGCGGTCGGTTGTTTTGGCTTTTGATCCTCACAGGAGCACAAAACTCACAGAAGGAGGGAGATCGCACACAGCAGAGGAGAGCTCAAGCTCAGTTTTCTCCTCACTATCTCTTCTTCCTCTTTCTCCTCTACCGAGCTACTACCAACCCATTACCCTTATATAGGGAAGGGGGCAGCCGACACGGGAGAGAGGCTAGGGGAGAAAACAAAGGAGGGAGCCGACCTAGGGATGGAAGATGGGACTCACAGCGGCGGCCATCAGATCACAGAGATCGGAGGGGATTTAGAGCTATCAGGTAGGAGAAGAAAATAGAGGGGCTAGGGCACAAGTAGTGGGGAGCTGGGCCTTTAGAGTAACGGGCCAACTTATTGGGCCAACAAAAAACAACAATATTGACCAAAATATTGGCTAATATATCTTCCATGTCGAGGATATATTTGTACAAAAATTACCAAAAAATGGTAAATGATATTGAGACCATATCGTTTTGCGGCAATCCTTGTAAAACAAAATATTGGCTGGACGTATCAGGGATATTTAAAATAATGCTGGAAAGATAGACAAGGGGAATGTCTTGGATGACAACTCTGCGTTAAATGTGTGTTATCCTGACTCAGACAATGGAGCAAGTTTTCATGAACAAGGGAGTAAATTACTGCCTTATGTGAGGACAATGCTGGTGCACACATTTGTTAGACATGAGGGATGAGGCACATGCGGGAGGGTGTTTATGGTAGGATCCATAGGAATTAATTAACTTTAGTGACCCGTGCAACAAGGCGAAATGATGGTTCAGTTAGAGTAACCAAATCTTGCATATTATTGTTCAAGCCCTTGGAGTGTGTGTTTTTTGTATTAGCTTAAGAAAGACTAGGAAGAGAGTGAAAGGATCATTATACTGAATCATAATGCCCTAGGGCTTAAGGAGTATGCTCATCCTTGAAGTGAGTTTTTTTAATCCTCTTTATTGTTATCTGAACCGTCTCATTTCCATCCACAATCTTCTCTTCTATAATTGGATCTTGTAATCTAGTTGCTTATTTCCAAATGAAGACGTAGAAGCAGACGTCAGGCTCCCACTTTCTGTACATGATTCAGAATGAGGGTACAAATATGATTTGGTGAATTTGTATTATTAAACCTCGCAATAAACAATCTCAATATGCTAAGATAGACATGATAAGTGTTTATTATTTGTTAGTGTTCCAGAATGCTTCTGTCTAATGTTTATGTGCACAAACAAATAGCTGGACAACATGTAATAGCTGACATGTATATAGCATATTTGTACATCCGTGTTCTATAACTGAACTGTTTTAAACCATGGGTGGGTAACCATCCTTTTCATGATTCCTTATTCTTGCATTTCTTACGTAAGTTTTTCTTTTTCTGTGCAAAAGATCTTATAGTAAGCAAGGATATTTTCTATTTTAGTTTTAGCGGTATAATGTTTTCTTACTATTAACCTTCAAGCGATCCTTTCATCTCAATATAATATTAATAAAGATATATATGGCATAGTCATACAGCATTGCTAATCTATTTTTGTCATTTCTCTTATTAGGAATCGACATCTTTGACCACCTTTTACTGCAGGTAGGGACAACTGTTTTTCATCTCATGGAAGAAGAGGCTTTGGACTTCTGACAGCAATTTCCATTGCACTTCCTCTGCATTGGTCAGCAGAAATGTTAGTCCCAGTATTGTAATTTCAGCTGTTTTATATACTACTATTATGGTTAACTGTGTCTGTTATTACCAAGCTCTGGTTTTAGGGGTTCTTGGTTATTTCTTTTGTTGGGAGCACTTTTTTGGTAAAGTACTATGAGCCCATCTAGAAATAAGATTTTACCCATCTGGGCAAAAATGTTCTACTTTCCTTCAATATTTGCTCCAAACATGATGATCCGTAGACATGCATAGAACTAGATTCAAGTTTGAACCAAACAGTTACAATAGGGAAGGTGATATAAGATGTACATTTTAACTGCAAAAAACTCTCCCGTTATAGTAGTGGAGACAGTAGAGATATGTTTAATTTTGGGCAGGTTATAGCATGACTCCAGATCTGTATCATAATATTTACTATCATACAAGGAATCCAGGTATTTCACCAAAGAGTATAAAATCCACTCTTTCTTTTGAGGATAGATTGAATCGGCATTTAGAATCACATGGTTTGGTTGTGATGCAGCTGATCTGAAACTTACCTCCAATGCACATGCACGCTGCATGCACACACACTAAATCTTTATGTCTGTCAAGAGAGCTTATGCTACTACTGTATATAGCGTAACCTTTTCATCATTCATAAACCTCATACCATTTTCTGCTTTTAAATATGAAGGGGAGCTGCTAGTGAATTGTCAATAGTTCAAAGTGAAGTTAGGAATGTTTTATCAAAAGCAAAAGCTGCTGGTGTTCTTCGAATGGCATTCCATGATGCAGGGACATTTGATATGGATGAAAATTCAGGTATTAGTATTTTGTTTCTAATTTATGTAATAATCTGCTGATGGCACATACTAGTAGTCTGTCATTGGTACTTGAATTTACTTATATTTCTCGGATATTATTCTTCATTTCTTTAACATTTGAAAGAAACTGTAGATTATTGTTCTATCTAAATTATTTCTGCACAATTTTTGCAGGTGGAATGAATGGTTCAATAGTCCATGAACTCGAGAGACCTGAAAATGCTGGTCTCAAGAAACCCTTCAAGGTCTATAATCCTACTTATTAACACCCTTTTCTCAAAAACAGACATGACAAAGGCACAGAAATGGAAAACATGCATGCAAACTGATACATATGCTGCATGAATGTACATTTGTCTATTTCTGATCTGTCACTAGTAAGAATCTTGTTTTTTGATGGCAATATGGAGGTGAAAAACTTCAGTTCTTTAATCGCTTAAATTATTACGCTGCACAACTAGAGTTACTCTACTATTTATTGAATTTGTACTCTTTGTTTGCTGTACTCAGGTTTTAGAAAAAGCAAAGCGAGAGATTGAAAAAAGCCAGCAAGGTACATGTTTCCGATGATGGTTTTTCATGGTGGAATACTGGTTCTCACCTACATATTAGTCTCTATTATTGTTAGTGTCTTGGGCGGACGTGATTGCTGTGGCTGGTGCTGAAGCAGTTTCACTATGTGGGGGTCCGTCAATTCCAGTTCGACTGGGCCGGGAGGATGCCAGGTGAAAATTATCCTCATAGCCAAACATGAATGTTTTAACCTGCTGTGAATCATTCAGATAACTTTTGGTTAATCTATTGTTTTTTCCCTACTAGTTTTTAGTTTTTACTGAATAGAGAGTGACAGCCGAGTTGAATTTGTAAAGTTGTCGAGGGTTGATAATAAGTTGTTTCAAGCTGCTCCACCCCTCTCAGGTTCTCAGTGCATACAGCTTTCATTTTGCAGGATGCCTGATCCCGAAGGAAAGCTTCCTGAAGAGTCATTGGATGCTTCTGGTTTGAAGAGATGCTTCCTAAAGAAAGGCTTCTCGTGAGTTTCCCGACTGTCGTGGAACTTTGCCTTTTCTTCATGTTTCTGCATTCTGTACATCATGGCTGTTCTTGTAATCTGCTAACTCAAAAATTCGGTTCCGTTTAGCTATTACTACGCCTTCTATGAGTGGTCCTTTTTTGAACCAAAGTCATTTAAATTCATATAATCGCCCCCCTCCTCCCAACTCCATTTGCCACATTTGCTTTGGAGGAAGCTTATTTAAGATTTTTGTTTTTAATATGACATGTTTTAGATTCCTCTAAAAAAAGACATGTTTCCTTTAGAGCAAGCCTGAGTATGACACTAAGCTAAGGTATTAGTCAACAAATTTTGTCGCACTCACCTTTAGAAGGTCATACTCTGACCCTGTTTCTTAAAAACACCTCATTATTGGTGTTTACTGATCTATGGTCTTGTAAGTTGCAAGTATGTGACTACAAAGTCTTCCAGATGGAGCAACTCCTCTATCTTATCACTGGAAACAAACTGAGAATTCCCTGTTAGAAGCAAATTGAGGAAGCTATTGTTGCTACAGATGTGAAGTATGTCATGTATCACTTTCAGCGAGAACTTTCCAGAAGGTCATCCTAGTATTGCACTGTGACTCCTGTTCAAGCTCACTTGATTATGTAAAATTCCAATGATTCCTCCTCCAAAATTGTAGTTAGAGTTAGGTTTTTTGAGTCCATATGAATTATTATATAGAAAAGATTAGTAAAGTGCATATCCCATGTGAGAATGTTTTCTTGGATATTACATACTCTGTTCATTTAGGATATAAACATCCTATCCATAATTTAAGTCTACAGATGTCATACTGTTGCATCACAAAAGGTATGCAATTGTGAGGGTGGTATTATAGATTTTAGAGGTGACGCCTAGCGTAAAGAACTGGCCCCTATCTCATTCCTATGTGGTGTAGTACTTTGCTTCATGTAGTAGTTAATTCCGTGTATTTCTTAATTTTGTATACTTCCAACTGGTGTGAGATTTTTATCATTCTAACGACTTCTCAAGAAGTCAATCATCCTGCCAACCATCCTAGTGTTCCTGCTGCTCTAACAATGCTTCGGTATTAGGTTTTGAGATCATTTCTAATGCTTCGAGGAAAAACTGTTAGTTTGGGTGTAGACCAAACTCACCTCCGTCCGGCGAGGAGCTTCGACGAGCTCGGAGAGGACGCAGGCGAAGTCGACAGGAGAACCCCCCCAGGCGAACGCCGTTCCGACCTTGGCGTTTTGGCGGTTCGAACTCTGCGTCACAGGACCCCCGAACTCTGCGTTCGCCTCCCCCTTTTCAGCTCTGCGTTCGAGCGATGGCGAGCTCTGCGTTTGGATGGCGAGCTCTGCGTTTTTTGGGGGGGTCCGAACTCTGCGTTCGAACCTGACCTTTGCGTCAGGTTTAGCCGCTGGCGACAGGCTGTCGCCAGCTCTCCTCTCCGCCTATAAAAGAAAACCCAGGCTAGGGTTTTGAAGTTGCTGAGCTTCCCCCCCTTTTCTTCCGATTCTTTCTCTCTGGCGGCGGCGGCGAACTGCCCTAAAACGCAGCAGCGTTTTCCCCAAATCGCAGTAGCGATTTCGATTTTTCTCCAGCTCTCAAAGGGGAATTTTGAGGGGAGATTAAAAGAGAGATTAAGAAGAGAGAGAGGAATTAAAGTGGGGTTTATATTGTGGGGTATTTATTCTCAAGTGAGAATTGAAAGGGTTCATACCCTTTGATTATTAACACTGTAGCTACAGTGTTTATTTGAGAAATCTCAGTTTTGAGATCTGCTCCTAAATTATAATTTCTTGTTTGATTAATAAGAAATTATCTGTGTGGCTCCCGAGGACGTAGGCAGTTGCCGAACCTCGTTAAAACTTGTGTATTGTTCTCTATTCTGCGTTTCCGTTGCAATTAGGGTTTCAGCGTTAAATTCCCAACAACTGGTATCAGAGCGTGAAACGATCTAGAACAAGTCAGATTCAAGTGGGAGCCATGGCCACAGATGAGGCAAAAATGAGACTTGAGAAATTTGATGGAACAGATTTCGGATTCTGGAAAATGCAGATAGAGGATTATCTGTATCAGAAAAATCTGTATCAACCACTATCGGGGAAGAAGCCAGATTCTATGAAGGAAGAAGAGTGGAACCTTCTAGATAGACAAGCCCTCGGAGTTATCAGATTGACGTTGACTCGCAATGTTGCGTTCAACATAGCGAAGGAGAAGACCACGGCAGGTCTTATGCCAGCTCTCTCAAATATGTATGAGAAGCCATCAGCCGCGAACAAAGTTCATTTGATGCGGTGGTTATTCAATCTGAAAATGGCGGAAGGCGCGTCAGTAGCACAACACCTCAATGAACTTAATACGGTTACAACCCAATTGAGTTCAGTTGAGATTGAGTTTGATGAAGAAGTTCGGGCGTTGATATTGTTGTCTTCCCTACCAGAGAGTTGGAACGCTACAGTCACAGCTGTGAGTAGCTCGTCGGGAAAGAAAAAGTTGAAGTTCGGCGACGTTCGTGATTTGGTTCTCAGTGAGGAGATCCGACGGAGAGAAACGGGTGAAGCTACAACCTCTTCAGTATTGCATACAGAGTCAAGAGGTAGAAATTCAACCAGAGGAAACGGACGAGGAAAATCAAACTTCAGAGGTAGATCAAAGGACAGGAGGTCCAAATCAAGGAATCCAAGCAACAGCTCGAAGGCTATCGAGTGTTGGAATTGTGGAAAGACCGGGCATTATAAGAATCAGTGCAAGAGTGCACAGAAGGAGAAGGAGGCGAAGGCAGAGGTGAATGTCACTTCCACTTCAGGAGGAGACGACGCATTGATATGCTCTTTGGAGAGCAAGGAGGAATCTTGGGTGTTAGATTCAGGAGCGTCGTTCCACGCTACTTCTCAGAAAGAATTCTTCGAGAAGTATACCCCCGGAAAACTTGGATACGTATATCTTGGTGATGATCAACCGTGTGCTATTGTGGGCAAAGGCGTGGTGAAAATTAAGTTGAACGGGTCAGTATGGGAGCTGAAGGATGTCAGGCATATTCCTGACCTGAGAAAGAATTTAATATCCGTAGGCCAGTTGGCTGGCGAAGGATATACCACGACCTTCCATGGAGATGATTGGAAGATCTCAAAGGGCGCAATGACGATTGCCCGAGGCAGGAAGACTGGTACCCTATATATGACAGCAGGTGCACGTTGTTCGATCTCAGTTGCAACTAGCAATGAGACCTCAAAGCTGTGGCACCAGAGACTCGGTCATATGAGTGAGAAGGGGATGAAAATCATGCACACAAAGGGGAAACTCCCAGGACTGCAGTCAGTGGAGATGGATATGTGTGAAGAATGTATACTTGGAAAGCAGAAGAGAGTCAGCTTTCAGACAAGTGGCAGAACCCCCAGGAAGCAGAAGCTAGAGCTCGTTCACTCAGATGTTTGGGGACCAACCACCACCGTGTCTATTGGTGGGAAACACTACTTCGTGACTTTTATCGATGATCACACTCGGAAAGTGTGGGTTTACTTTCTGAAGCATAAGTCAGAAGTATTTGAGGCTTTCAGGAGATGGAAAGCTATGGTCGAAAATGAAACCGGTCTGAGAATAAAGAAGCTCAGGACAAGCTATGGTCGAGAATGAGACCGGTCTGAGAATAAAGAAGCTCAGGACCGACAATGGCGGTGAGTATGAAGACACCGGATTCAAGAAGTTCTGCTATGAGCACGGGATCAGAATGGAGAGAACCGTGCCCGGCACGCCTCAGCAAAATGGTGTAGCTGAGCGGATGAACCGAACGTTGACAGAGAGAGCCAGAAGCATTCGGGTACAGTCAGGCCTACCGAAGCAGTTCTGGGCAGAAGCGGTCAACACGGCAGCTTACTTGATCAACCGAGGTCCGTCGGTTCCATTGGAGCACTGAATACCAGAGGAGGTATGGTGCGGAAAGGAGGTAAAACTCTCACATCTTAAAGTTTTCGGTGGTGTAGCTTACGTGCATATTAGTGATCAAGGCAGGAATAAGCTTGATCCCAAGTCAAAAAAATGCACTTTCATCGAAAGTGATCCGCAGCAGAGATGTGATATTCAACGAGAAGGTGATGTACAAGGACATGCACAAGGCAGATGACTCAGAGAGCGAGTCAATATTCGTAGATGCACATGATGTCCCGAGTAACCTCTCGGAAGAACCCAATGCAGAGGGTCCTCAGCAAAAAGAGCCTGTTGGACAAGATGGTGCGGATGAGCCCGACGCACCAGCTTCGATATTAAGAAGATCTTCTCGTCCTCTTGTACCCAACAGGAGATACATGAACTATCTGTTGTTGACAGATGGTGGGGAGCCTGAAAGCTTTGATGAAGCTTGTCAGTGTGGAGATGCGAGCAAGTGGGAGCTTGCAATGAAAGATGAGATGAAGTCTCTCATATCAAACCAGACGTGGGAACTAGCTGAGTTGCCCACGGGTAAGAAGGCACTCCACAACAAATGGGTGTACCGGGTGAAAGAGGAGCAAGATGGTTCCAGAAGATATAAGGCCCGGCTAGTTGTCAAAGGTTTCCAGCAGAAGGAAGGAATTGACTACACCGATATTTTCGCTCCCGTGGTGAAGCTAAATACTATCAGGACCGTGATGAGTATTGTAACAATTGAAGATCTTCATCTCGAGCAGTTAGACGTGAAGACGGCGTTTCTTCACGGAGATCTAGAAGAGGAGATATACATGCACCAGCCAGAAGGTTTCTCAGAAGAAAAGAAGAAAAAGAACCTGGTGTGCAGACTCAAGAAGAGCTTGTATGGCCTGAAACAAGCCCCAAGACAGTGGTACAAGAAGTTTGACGGCTTCATGCACAAGGAAGGTTTCCAGAAGTGCAACGCCGACCACTGTTGCTACTTCAAAAGATATCAGTCCAGCTATATCATCCTACTGCTGTATGTTGATGATATGTTGGTTGCAGGAGCAGATATGGAGGATATCAGAAGCTTGAAGCAGCAGCTGTCAAAGGAGTTTGACATGAAGGACTTGGGTCCAGCGAAGAAGATCCTTGGAATGCAAATCACGAGAGATAAGAAGAGAGGTCTCTTGCAGTTATCTCAAACGGAGTACATCAACCGTGTTTTGCAGAGATTCAACATGGGCGACGCCAAGCCTGTGAGCACACCCTTGGCCAGTCATTTTCGCTTATCGAAGGATCAGTCTCCTCAGTCAGAAGAAGAGAAAGAGAGTATGGCTCAGGTACCTTACGCCTCAGCTATCGGAAGCTTGATGTACGCTATGGTCTGTACGAGACCAGATATTGGCCATGCAGTGGGAGTGGTCAGCCGGTTTATGTCGAATCCAGGAAAAGCTCATTGGGAAGCGGTCAAATGGATTCTGAGATATCTACGAGGCACCACACAGAAGTGTTTGCACTTTGATAAGGGAGAGGTGGAAGTGCAAGGGTACGTAGATGCAGACTTCGGTGGCGAATTTGATCACCGAAGAAGCACCACCGGCTATGTATTCACCGTTGGAACTACAGCTGTTAGTTGGATGTCACAGGTACAGAAGATCGTTACCCTATCCACTACAGAAGCTGAGTACGTTGCAGTGACTGAAGCCAGTAAAGAGATGATATGGCTTCAGGGTTTGTTGACAGAGCTGGGATTCAAACAGGAGAAGAATGTTTTGCACAGTGATAGCCAGAGTGTGATACACTTGGCGAAGAATTCCGCATTTCATTCTAGAACGAAGCATATTGCGCTTCGGTACCACTTCATCAGATCCCTGTTGGAAGATGACGTGTTGAAACTGGAAAAGATTCCAGGAAGTAAGAATCCAGCAGACATGTTAACAAAGACGGTGACAGTTCTGAAACTAGAGTTGTGCGCAACTTCAGTTGGCCTTCATGAATAGATGATGAGGGCGGAGCCACACAGGAGAGGAGCTTGGTGAGATAGCCCGTTAACGACGGTTTGGTCTCCAAGTGGGAGATTGTTAGTTTGGGTGTAGACCAAACTCTCCGCCGTCCGGCGAGGAGCTTCGACGAGCTCCGTGGCGTCGAAGCGGTCGCTGGCGACAGGCTGTCGCCAGCTCATCCATCAACTCCGCCTATAAAAGAAAACCCCAGCCTAGGGTTTTTCGCTGCTGAACTTCCCCCCCTTTCTCCGATTTCTTCTCTTTGGCGGCGGCGGTGAACTGCCCTAAATCGCTGCTGCGATTTTGTGTGATTTATCCCAGCTTCAACAGTGTTTGAGGGGATTAAAGAAGAGAGAGAAATAGAGATTTAAAGAGGGGTTTTAGTTGTGGGGTATTTATTCTCAAGTGAGAATTGAAAGGGTTCATACCCTTTGATTATTAACACTGTAGCTACAGTGTTTATTTGAGAAATCTCAGTTTTGAGATCTGCTCCTAAATTGTAATTTCTTGTTTGATTAATAAGAAATTATCTGTGTGGCTCCCGAGGACGTAGGCAGTTGCCGAACCTCGTTAAAACTTGTGTACTGTTCTCTATTCTGCGTTTCCGTTGCATTAGGGGTTTCAGCGTTAAATTCCCAACAAAAACTTGTCGCTTACTCAACTATCCTCGCATTTTTCTGCTTGAGCATTCCTAATTACGTAAAATTTTCATGACACCTCTCAAAAAATCTACATATGGTTTATTTTGAGTCGATATGAGTTATTATATACTACCAGAGACTTCCCAAGTACATGTTCCATGTTGGATTGACTTCAGGATTTTACATAAATGGCTGAAATTGCAGCACACCAACTAGTTTGCAGGTTCTTTCTGCATATTTCAGACGGTTTCAGTTTTATTGTAGCATTTAGTTTCTAACTGCATAATAAATAATTCCTGTTGGCAGCACACAAGAACTTGTTGCACTATCTGGAGCACATACACTTGGAAGCAAAGGCTTTGGAAATCCTGTTGTGTTTGACAATGCCTACTTCAAAATACTTCTCGAGAAACCATGGGCATCATCGGGTGAATAATTTAGACATTTGTCTTTATATTTGTGTTTTTTCTTGAGTCCCTTGCTTATAGTGACCAGACCTTTGCTGCACTGACACTGACACTGACAAAGGATCTAGCTGCAACATTTAACACTAAAACCGTTTAAATAAAACATAATAGACCAACAGACATGTTTGCCAAATAAACTTCTAAGTTATGTTGTGGAAGAGATCAGGCATGTGCAAGAAGTAACTTTGTTTAATGTAGTATTGGAGGGAGCTGAAACCAGGATGTCTTGATATCATTTGATAACCACTTCATTCAAATGTTTAAGCTAATAAGTTGATGAACCAATAGATATAGTACACCATTATAACGAATAGGGCTCTCTTTATTACTTAATTTGCTGTGGTTCTCAACATGCCATATCAATGTGACCTTATCCTTTATTTATCTTCCCCCCTTGAGATAAAGTTCTCATTACCTACTCATCTACAAGTATTTTTTTTTAAAAAGGGCCAGCATGATTCTAGAGCGTAGTTTATTTGTTATTGTTTGTTATTATCATGTAAATGCTTGTTATCGATTCTTTTTGGTGCTTGCAAATTGGGATGTGGGAAACTTTCATCTATACCAGCCTGCCAATTTTTATATGCAACACCGTATAACTGTGGCTCTAAGAGAAAAAACTGGCTGGCAATATTTTTCCTACAGATAATGAATTTATAATTGACATACCCATTAAATATTAATCATGCATACAGCTGGAATGTCAAGTATGATAGGGCTGCCATCAGATCGTGCACTTGTGGAGGATGATGAGTGCTTAAGGTCCATCTCCATCATCAATAATTCCCATACTGTACAGAATCAATTCTTTTTTTTACCATAATATCAAATTAAGGGTTAATTTCTCGTCAACCCCCTGTAGTATTGGAATGTGCTATTTATACCCCTTAAGTTTGATATTGGTGGAGAAACCCCTAAGTGAATTCCTTTTTTCTCTCTTACACTCCAGGGATGTATTTGCCAAAAACAAAAACAGGCATCCCTTAAGGGTAAAAGAGTTGAAGATATTTCACTCGGGGGTGGATTTGTCAATATTAAACTTACGAGGTAATAAGTGACACATCACTGTAGTACAAGGGTATATGTTCAATTAACCCGACGGTTAATACCATAACAGGATAACCAAATCACTAACATAACAACTGACTACATTTCCCCCCCTGCAGGTGGATCAAAATTTATTCAGCTGATCAAGTTCAATTTTTTGAAGACTTCAAGAGTGCATACTCTAAGCTCGTGGATTCTGGTGCTGTATGGAGAAGTGGCTAGGCGGAAATATCTTCTAAAGACCCAAAAAAGCTGGGGAAAAAGAGCGCAAAAAGGCTTTGAGGTACTCATTTTTTCACAAGGTAATATCCAAAACAAAGAATATAGAATCTAGCTATCTAAGCAGATAGTATGTCCTTGCGCAGATTCTTTTGCCGTAGCCATTTTGGAGCAACTCAAACTGTAATTTCTCCAAATTTGCCGAGTACGTGTAATGGTTTGTAGGAGGTCAACGTGTGGGGGAAGCTAAAGAAGTTTACTTCATCTCAGAGGGGAATGGCTGAAACTACATATGTTTTCTCGAGTTTGTTTGATGATTTTACGAGTAAAAGTAGCTGGAACGGTCAGACTCTTTCTGTTACAAGAAGTTCACAGTATATATCAAGACATACAAAGAGTCTTAGTGAAATATGCTTATAGTTTTGTGCAGTTGCTTAGCTCATCAAAATATGCTTGTAGTTTGTCTGAACTATACGGATATAGATTGTTTTATGCTGCGAATTTTATCTTAAAATCATCACATGCGTGCTATTTGTAATCTACTCAACTTTTATAGCGCTATGAGAAATAGGAAGCGTCTGTAACGGGGAAAACTTTTTACGTCGATGGAAGATTCGCATCTGAGAAACTTTTTTTGCGGCTGATTATGCAGAATTGTTCGTACGTTATGTCATTTTACTGTCTAGTTCGCTGCAAATGGACTTGCAATCATGAGTAGGCAAACTACAAGCATTTTATTTGCAGCGGGGGAGTGTTTTGATTGCATGAAAGTGGAAACTAAAAGTTTACTGACGACACGCTTTCAACGTGTCCGGTGGTTTTCATTTTTATATTTATATGTATATATATTTTTTTTAAGCGTATGTGAAAATGAACTACAACAGATAAATAGACGAACAACCACGCTAATTGTAAAAATTGTTGTATGAGTAAAGACACAGGATTTAACGAGGTTCAGTACCAACTTGGTACCTACGTCCTCCACACCCACACACAATCTTTTTATTTCTTTTCTTTTTTTCCAATGATCCATGTACAGGAGAGGGAGAGGAGAATATATAGAGAAAGGAAAAACAATCTTCTAAAACAAGGAAACAATCTTCTAAAATAAGGAAACAGAATAACTGGTGAATAAAGGAAATTAATTATGAGAGCCAGCTATCGCCTTCCTTCTTTAGTCTGGTGGTGCAGGTACAGGGTCTATTTCAACATCCTCCCTCAAGTTGGTAGGTAGATATCTACCATACCTAACTTGCCAATCGATTCTTCAAAGCATTTTGTCGACACTCCCTTCGTCAACATATCTGCAAGTTGTTCCTCAGATCTCACGAATGGAAACGAGATGATCCTTTCTTCCAAATTCTGTTTGATGAAATGTCTATCGATTTCTATGTGCTTTGTTCTGTCATGCTGTACCGGGTTGTGTGCTATCTCAATTGCTGATTTATTATCACAATAAAGTTGCATTCCTTCTTTCGACTTAAAACCCAGCTCAATCATGAGTTTCCTTAGCCATAGGAGTTCACATAAACCTTTGGACATTCCTCTAAACTCAGCTTCTGCGCTTGATAAGGCAACTACGTTCTGCTTCTTACTTCTCCAAGTAACGAGGTTTCCTCCCACAAAGGTGAAGTATCCAGATGTAGATTTCCGGTCAGTTCTATCTCCAGCCCAATCAGCATCTGTGTAACCCCAAATATCCAAATGTCCATTTTTCCTAAATTGGATACCTTTCCCTGGAGTCTTTTTGAGATATTTCAGAACTCTTGTCACAGCGTCCATATGTTGCTCCTTTGGGTCATGCATGAATTGACTTACCATACTTACAGCATACGCAATGTCGGGTCTGGTATGTGATAAGTAGATAAGTTTTCCTACCAGTTTCTGGTAAGTTTCCCGATCAACAGCCGGGTCGTCTGAACGATCTTCAAACCTCAGGTTTTGGGTAATGGGTGTATCGGCTGGCTTACAGTCTAGCATCCCCACCTCTACAAGCAAGTCAAGTGTATACTTTCGTTGTGATAAAGAGATACCTTCTTTTGAGCGTAGCACCTCTATTCCCAGGAAGTATTTTAGACCACCCAAATTTTTCATCTCAAACTCCTGTGATAGTCTCTGCTCTAGCCACCCTATCTCCTCACTATCGTCTCCTGTAATTATCATGTCATCAACATAGATAATTAGGATAGTTACCTTGTCTTGACGATGCTTGTAGAACAGAGTATGGTCAGAATCACTTTGAGTGTAGTTGTAATTCTTCATGGCTTTGCAAAAACGCCCAAACCATGCTCTTGGTGACTGTTTTAATCCATACAGACTTCTTTCCAGCTTACATACCACCTTCTCTTGTTCTTGGTGTGTGTATCCTGGCGGAATGTCCATATAGATCTCTTCCTCCAGATCTCCATGCAAAAATGCATTCTTCACATCAAATTGATGTAGCGGCCAGTCCTGATTTGCTGCAAGAGACAATAAGACTCGAATTGTGTTAAGTTTTGCAACTGGAGAAAAAGTTTCCTGGAAATCTATTCCATATGTTTGGGTGTACCCCTTTGCAACCAACCTTGCCTTATACCTTTCAACTTTACCTGTAGCATCATATTTTACCGAGAACACCCACTTGCACCCAACAGTTTTCTTTCCACTTGGCAGTTTTACTAACTTCCATGTCTTTGTGGTTTTCAGGGCTTCCATTTCTATTTCCATCGCTTTAACCCATTTGGGATCTCGCAAGGCTTCGTCTACACTGTTTGGTACCTGAATCTTTGACAGTTCTTCAGTGAAATTTCTCACCATATTGGACAACCCAATAGTACTGGTATAATTTGATATTGCATATCCTCCTTGTCTATTACCTTCTTCTCTATACCGTTTTGGTGGTATATTCCGGGTGGTTCTCACAGGGTACCGTCTTTCAGGTTCAGTTTGAAGAGAACGTACCTCAGGGACATCCTTTGGAGAGCTCGAGTGTGGCATTTCATGCTCCTCGTCCGACTGTATCACTTCTTCTTCCAATCTGATTTCCTCAGGTTCGGGTGCATGCTCTATGTCCTCTCCCATCCGTTCAGGTGCACGGTTCGTGTCCTCTCCCATCCGGTCTGTGTCCCCTGGGGTAGAGTCTGCACGGTCCATGTCTTCATCTACATGGTCTGTATGCGTGTTTCTCGTGTTTCTCTCTTCATCCTCCCACCAGATTGTTTGGTTTGTTTCCTCCTCTCTTGGAGGGGGCAATGATTGGTTCCGAAAAAAAGGTTCACTTTCCAAAAATGACACATCCATTGTCACATAGGTTTTTCCAGTTTCTAAGTCAAAGCATTTATATCCTTTTTGATTATTACCATACCCGACAAACATGCACCTAATTGCGCAAGGTTCGAGCTTGGTTCTTTTCTCTCTTGGAACATGTACATATGCTGTACATCCAAACACTTTTGGTGCCAGATTTAGAGCTGATGGAATTCTCACAAATGAGGAAAGTTTCTGTAAAGGGGTAAGGAATTTTAGGGTACTGGATGGCATTCGGTTCATAAGGTACACGGCAGTAGATATGGCATGATTCCAAAAATTCCGTGGCACATTATTTTCAAATAACAAAGATCTAGCAATCTCCAAAATATGCCGATTTTTCCTTTCTGCCACACCATTTTGTTGAGGGGTACCGGCACAAGATGTTTCATGTATAATGCCATTACTTTTGAAAAAACTTCCCAAGAAATTATTCACATATTCCCCCCCATTGTCACTTCTAAGAATTTTAATCTTCTTTCCAAATTGTCTTTGAATCAGGTTTGAGAAATCTAGAAAACAGTTTGCGACTTCATTTTTATGTTTCAAGAGATATAACCATGTCATTCTAGTACTATCATCGGTGAAAAGAACAAACCACCTTTCCCCGTTTATTGAATTAACCGGGGCTGGACCCCACACATCAGAATGTACTAAATCAACAAACTCCAAATCTTTATAACGAACACTAGGATAAGAGTTTCTATGACTTTTACTTCGAATACAAGTTTCACACTGAATTTCAAAATTTGACATACCAGCCCATAAGAAAGGAAAATTTTTCCGCATATATCCCACAGAAGGGTGTCCCAACCTCTTATGCCACAACAAAATATTATCTCTCTGAGTGCTTCTCCCAGCTAGACATGTAGAACCAGTACTCAAGTCTTCAAGGTGATACAGTCCATTTCGCTTAATACCACGCCCAAGTATCTCCTTCGTTATGATGTCCTGAAAAATGCAGAAATTGGGATACATTAAGACCACACAATTTAAATCTTCAGCTAATCGACCCACTGATATAAGCTTTGTGGTCAGTGAAGGAACAAGTAGAGTGTCTTTTAAACACAAAGATTCAGTCACATTAACAACTCCTGATCCTATAACCTGTGAGGGGACTCCATTTGCATTCACAATCTCTTTTCGGTTAGATTCCCCAATTCTATCAATATCTGAATCTAAATAAGTCATGTGATCGGTTGCTCCGGAATCTATCACCCATTTTTCTAAATTCTGTGTGATAAGAGCATTACCTTTTCCAGCAGACCTGTCTGTACCTTTGACATGAGTCGCAAGTGTTAGTGATGCTCGGCCTACGTTGTCTTCTGCGCGGTCTGTATACCCGAGTGCACGGTCCGGGCATCCTGCTATGTGCACCTGTCCACCTTGTCCCTTCTTGTTCCCTGCGGCCTTTTTCTCCTTCAATTCATGCCACCAGTCTGGATATCCATGCAACTTAAAGCATGTTTCCTTGGTGTGCCTTGGATTGCGGCAATGACTGCATCCTCCTTCAACTTTCTTTCCCTGTTTTGTTTCAGACTTAAGAGAAAGGGATACCTCTGATGCACGGTCCGTGTGCTGACCTGTACCCTTCATTGTCATGACTGCGGGATGAGAGATACTGTCATTGCTACACATCACCTTCTGCCTCATCTCCTCCCGTCTAACCCGGGCATACGCCTGCTCAACAGTTAGTAAGGGCACAGTCTGGATAATATCCGCTCGAGTGCTATCTAGACGGTCGTCTAATCCGGCTAGAAATTTGTACACCCGATCCTGTTGAACCCAAGAGTTGTGCTTCTCAATGTCCATAATGCACACCATAGGGTTTGGTCTTCGGAAATCAATCTCCTTCCACAATCCCTGCAACTCATTGTAATACTTTTCCAAAGATCCACCTGATTGTTTTAACTGGTGGACCCTTTGTTGAAGGTCATAGATCTGAGAAGAATCACAACCGTCAAAGAAGGTGGTAGCCAAGGCATCCCAAACCTCCTTTGCGGTAGAATATCGGTGGAAATTTCCAATAAGGCTTGAGTCGAGGGAGTTGAGAATCAAACCTTTTACCATTGAGTCATTCATCTTCCATTGCTCATATCCAGCATCACCTACCAAAGGTGTCGGTTTCTCTTCACGTACATAGCCTAGCTTGCCCTTGCCGGCCAGGTGAGTCTCCATCATGGACAACCACAGCCCGTAGTTAGTTCCATCGAATTTGACTGTGATTGAGTTAACCGGTACTTCAACCGGCATAGTCATCACCTTCTGGGTGGTTAGAAGTTCCTTCAGCGCTTGAAGAAGTGTCATGTCAACGCTGTGGTCCTGGTCCTTCCCACCTCCCGTCTTCTGATTGTCGGTCTCCATTATAGGTTCCTAGATCTGGACCGCTCTGATACCATGTAAAAATTGTTGTATGAGTAAAGACACAGGATTTAACGAGGTTCAGTACCAACTTGGTACCTACGTCCTCCACACCCACACACAATCTTTTTATTTCTTTTCTTTTTTTCCAATGATCCATGTACAGGAGAGGGAGAGGAGAATATATAGAGAAAGGAAAAACAATCTTCTAAAACAAGGAAACAATCTTCTAAAATAAGGAAACAGAATAACTGGTGAATAAAGGAAATTAATTATGAGAGCCAGCTATCGCCTTCCTTCTTTAGTCTGGTGGTGCAGGTACAGGGTCTATTTCAACACTAATTTGCATATTTAACTGTCCCTAAAAGAAATGCTGAAATTATCGTCAAAGTGGCAAAATGAGGACCAAACTTAATTGAAATGTTTTATTTGTTAGTAATCATTGAAGGTATAAAATAATTTTAAAATAAAAAATAAAAAAAATTGTCACCCCATCTTTATTTCTCTAATGTCAACTATAATTTGCTTTTACAAAGATACAATATTTTCTTCACTTTCAATTTGCCAAAATCCCTCAACTACATTTTACAAAATAAGTTCTCCCGTTTTCATTCATTGTAATTGTTGATGTATGGAATCACACAGTCAAATGAAAGAAGATTAAATGTGTTGACAAAGGTCCTCTAACTCTCCAAATTCCTGGTCTCTGGGCAAGTTGTACTTCCCTGCACAAGTAGCAGACCGTAAGAGGGCGGGGAGTGATTCACCGGTTGTTCTTTTGACGATCAAGTCAGTGGGTGGCTTGTGTAGAGAAGTAAAAGGAGCTGTAGCAGTTCTTAAGTTCAGAGAACGGTGGAAAAAGCTTACCGTGTAATGAAAAATAGTATCTCCTTTTTTTTGTAGTGGAAGGAGGGTGGGATGGTAACTTTGGCCAGGCATGGGCCGACGGCCAAGTCAGCTTCAACTTTACAGGTATCGGTTAAGGAGTGGAGGAGAGGTCACTTTGGTTTAATGCGAAGTGATGTGAGACGTCATGTGCGGATGTGGTCCGATGTGTCATAAATACTATTGGAGCCAGAGAAATGATGACGCCCATAATGCATTTAATGGTATTTATGGCGATGTGATGTGTCATTAGTGCACAGGAGGGGCTTCAGTCTCAAGGCGTTTCGTCGCCTTTCTATTTGTCTGGTGATCAAGAAGTACCGCCTTTCGAGTCACCCTCATAAGGTATCGGCCAATGAGTTGGCCGAGTGAAGTGTATAAGTAGTCGACTCGGCCGGGGGATGACACATAACGTCTTTTGGGTCGTTGACATGTGACGCATTTCGAGTCGTCCTCGTAGGATGTTGGCGTGTCGAGTCGACGGAGCGAGGCTTCTGATTATCTTAAGATGTTAACCTGATTGTGCATAATGTGAAATATTTGTCTGCTATTGATTAAAGATTATTTTTCATCACTAAAATATCTATAACGGTCACTATGAGAGTATTATTAGATTCAGAAGGTTCCTGAAATTTGCCCATAGTTAAATTTCAATTTTTTTATTACAATTTTAGATTAAATACCTTGAGGCTTGTACTTCGGGTTAGAAATGAATCGAACCGAGTCAAATTGAAAACCCCAGGTTTCATATTCACTTTCGTTTAAAAATTTCAAATTCGAATACCATTATTGAAATGTCTTCAAATTCAAATACAAATCCTTTTCGAATATCTATCAAATACTCGGATACATTAATTTGATTAATAATTTATCATTTATGAATACTAAACTATGTAATTAATTAAATATTTTTATTTAGTTAAAAGAAATTTAGTTTAAGAATTGACATAGGACTCTTTAAATTTGTTTAAAATTAGTATAGAACATAAAATACAAAATTCAAATGGGTTAAATACAGAACATGTATATGTAATAATATAAATTATAAACGGCGAAACTTTTAACAAATATTTAAAGCTCTTAATAAATAAATTAAATATACATCTGCTTAAACTATATTTATATACGAATTGAATACTAAAATTTATTTATATACTATTAAATAAACTATCAAATCAAATGTAATCGAATAGTTTGAAAAACTATCAGCAAACTATTTGTTAATTATTTGGTTCTTTTTACCTTTCGACTAAATTAGCAGTTGGGAAAACAATTAATAACTTTTCTGACTGGCGGCTAACTTTTATACTTATAAAAAGTAGCAAATAATTTCGAACTAGCAGAAAATAACAAAGTGAAAATGAAAAAAAATCAAGAAGAGAAGAGAGAGAGAGAAAAAAAACCAGTCTGTGAATTTAGCCCCACCCCTACAGTTAGACCGACGGTCGAAAACATGTGCGCCCCTCGAAAAGTCTAAACACCTCCCAGCGCGAGCCAAAAAAAAAAAAAAACAAAAAATAAATTTAAATTGAAAGCAAAAACTCAAGAAAAGGGCAAGAAAACCACCGAGGGCAAAGCAGGAGGAGGAAGCAATGGAGGCGAGCATGAGAGACGCAGACGAGCCCGAGGATTACGGCGTGGCAAAATGAGGACCAAACTTAATTGAAATGTTTTATTTGTTAGTAATCATTGAAGGTATAAAATAATTTTAAAATAAAAAATAAAAAAAATTGTCACCCCATCTTTATTTCTCTAATGTCAACTATAATTTGCTTTTACAAAGATACAATATTTTCTTCACTTTCAATTTGCCAAAATCCCTCAACTACATTTTACAAAATAAGTTCTCCCGTTTTCATTCATTGTAATTGTTGATGTATGGAATCACACAGTCAAATGAAAGAAGATTAAATGTGTTGACAAAGGTCCTCTAACTCTCCAAATTCCTGGTCTCTGGGCAAGTTGTACTTCCCTGCACAAGTAGCAGACCGTAAGAGGGCGGGGAGTGATTCACCGGTTGTTCTTTTGACGATCAAGTCAGTGGGTGGCTTGTGTAGAGAAGTAAAAGGAGCTGTAGCAGTTCTTAAGTTCAGAGAACGGTGGAAAAAGCTTACCGTGTAATGAAAAATAGTATCTCCTTTTTTTTGTAGTGGAAGGAGGGTGGGATGGTAACTTTGGCCAGGCATGGGCCGACGGCCAAGTCAGCTTCAACTTTACAGGTATCGGTTAAGGAGTGGAGGAGAGGTCACTTTGGTTTAATGCGAAGTGATGTGAGACGTCATGTGCGGATGTGGTCCGATGTGTCATAAATACTATTGGAGCCAGAGAAATGATGACGCCCATAATGCATTTAATGGTATTTATGGCGATGTGATGTGTCATTAGTGCACAGGAGGGGCTTCAGTCTCAAGGCGTTTCGTCGCCTTTCTATTTGTCTGGTGATCAAGAAGTACCGCCTTTCGAGTCACCCTCATAAGGTATCGGCCAATGAGTTGGCCGAGTGAAGTGTATAAGTAGTCGACTCGGCCGGGGGATGACACATAACGTCTTTTGGGTCGTTGACATGTGACGCATTTCGAGTCGTCCTCGTAGGATGTTGGCGTGTCGAGTCGACGGAGCGAGGCTTCTGATTATCTTAAGATGTTAACCTGATTGTGCATAATGTGAAATATTTGTCTGCTATTGATTAAAGATTATTTTTCATCACTAAAATATCTATAACGGTCACTATGAGAGTATTATTAGATTCAGAAGGTTCCTGAAATTTGCCCATAGTTAAATTTCAATTTTTTTATTACAATTTTAGATTAAATACCTTGAGGCTTGTACTTCGGGTTAGAAATGAATCGAACCGAGTCAAATTGAAAACCCCAGGTTTCATATTCACTTTCGTTTAAAAATTTCAAATTCGAATACCATTATTGAAATGTCTTCAAATTCAAATACAAATCCTTTTCGAATATCTATCAAATACTCGGATACATTAATTTGATTAATAATTTATCATTTATGAATACTAAACTATGTAATTAATTAAATATTTTTATTTAGTTAAAAGAAATTTAGTTTAAGAATTGACATAGGACTCTTTAAATTTGTTTAAAATTAGTATAGAACATAAAATACAAAATTCAAATGGGTTAAATACAGAACATGTATATGTAATAATATAAATTATAAACGGCGAAACTTTTAACAAATATTTAAAGCTCTTAATAAATAAATTAAATATACATCTGCTTAAACTATATTTATATACGAATTGAATACTAAAATTTATTTATATACTATTAAATAAACTATCAAATCAAATGTAATCGAATAGTTTGAAAAACTATCAGCAAACTATTTGTTAATTATTTGGTTCTTTTTACCTTTCGACTAAATTAGCAGTTGGGAAAACAATTAATAACTTTTCTGACTGGCGGCTAACTTTTATACTTATAAAAAGTAGCAAATAATTTCGAACTAGCAGAAAATAACAAAGTGAAAATGAAAAAAAATCAAGAAGAGAAGAGAGAGAGAGAAAAAAAACCAGTCTGTGAATTTAGCCCCACCCCTACAGTTAGACCGACGGTCGAAAACATGTGCGCCCCTCGAAAAGTCTAAACACCTCCCAGCGCGAGCCAAAAAAAAAAAAAAACAGAAAATAAATTTAAATTGAAAGCAAAAACTCAAGAAAAGGGCAAGAAAACCACCGAGGGCAAAGCAGGAGGAGGAAGCAATGGAGGCGAGCATGAGAGACGCAGACGAGCCCGAGGATTACGGCAGA